GACTTGTATCGCTGAAGTTCCTCGCGGAAAGAATTTATACCGGAAATTAAGGAAATTATCAAACGAGCAGAGACGTAACAATATTCAGTTTCAAATATATACATATAAGTTAGATACATTTTTTTAAAATATCGAGTTTATTAAAGTTTGGTTATAAAACAAACTCTACAGGAAAACACATCTATTTTTGAAATAATCACTGACTCAGCTTACTTTGTTCGTAGAACTTTACTATTGATAATATAGTAAATTATCGAGATTTAAATTCCTCTACTGGGCGTCCAGTAAAGGGGTCGTAATGTGCAAACTTCTTCCTTTTCTAAACATGCGTTTTGTTATACCTCCCCTCCTCCCCCAGTAATTTTCCCATATTAATTGTTATTACTACATTACTTATAGTAGTAATATTTGCACGGCAGTTTTTAAAACTTCATTATTTATAAACGTGTACTTTCAGATATATGCTCATTTAGCCATAGCTGCGAAACTCCCCCCCCCCCTCCGAGGGACACGCCTTACATGCAGTTTTGCGCATTGGGTCACCGCGTTGCCTAATGAGACAATGATAACATTTTTTAAATCACGTGATGTCTCGACATTTTGGATCAATGCTTTGTGGTCCTATAAGTCGATAGGCAACAGGGTCGTAACGTATTGGCACAACGCGTTGTCGAAATAGTTAACACGAATGTTGTAATTGTTGCTAGTTTCATATCCTGTACAAGTATGCTTTTGGAATAACCAAATTAGAAGTGTAATTTTTGTGGGTCCACCGATGAATTGGCGGCAAGTTAATGGAATTACAACGCTAAAATCCGGGGTTCGATTCTCTGCAGTGCACAGAGCTTTATGCTAAAACTAACAAACTTACAAATTGCTTAGTTCCTGAAGAAACGTGCTAGTTCACGTTTGTGGTTATTGTCTAAAATTATTATCAAACAATAAACATCCACGGAATTTCATACTGAAAACGTGCAATAAACTCATTCTTCGTTGCTTTATAAAATATTTATATAAAACTTCGAAACAAACATAGACAACTTTATCGCCATCTTAAGTACTGAAATAATTTAAAAGATGTTTGGAATGATGTCGCGAATAAATAAGCTGAAGGAAAGTTGAAAGATGTTTGAAATGATGTCACGGGTAAATAATCTGAAGGAAAGTTGAAAGATGTTTGGAATGATGTCTCGGGTAAATAAGCTGAAGGACACTTGAAAGATGTTTGGAATGATGTCTCGGGTAAATAAGCTGAAGGAAAGTTGAAAGATGTTTGGAATGATGTCACGGGTAAATAAGTTGAAGGACACTTGAAAGATGTTTGGAATGATGTCGCGGGTAAATAATCTGAAGGAAAGTTGAAAGATGTTTGGAATGATGTCTCGGGTAAATAAGCTGAAGGAAAGTTGAAAGATGTTTGGAATGATGTCACGGGTAAATAAGCTGAAGGACACTTGAAAGATGTTTGGAATGATGTCGCGGGTAAATAATCTGAAGGAAAGTTGAAAGATGTTTGGAATGATGTCACGGGTAAATAAGCTTTAGGAAAGTTGAAAGATGTTTGGAATAATGCCGCGGGTAAATAAGCTTTAGGAAAGTTGAAAGATGTTTGGAAGGATGTCACGGGTAAATAAGCTGAAGGAAAGTTGAAAGATGTTTGGAATGATGTCGCGGGTAAATAATCTGAAGGAAAGTTGAAAGATGTTTGGAATGATGTCACGGGTAAATAATCTGAAGGAAAGTTGAAAGATGTTTGGAATGATGTCGCGGGTAAATAAGCTGAAGGAAAGTTGAAAGATGTTTGGAAGGATGTCGCGGGTAAATAAGGTGAAGAACATTTGAAAAAAATATTTCAAATAAATAATAAACTAATTGTCGGTTGGAATATTTGACCGAAAAGCTCACGTCTTTTTACAATCTTGTTTTGAGTACGTTATATAAAAAAACATTTACAAAATAATTAATAGAGAAAATTTCCAATATTACATTGCTTCATCTCGATACGTGCCAAAGGATTTTCTAAGTAAGATTATCATTAGTTTACCATGATTTGGCTTGTATGCAAAACAATATTTTTAAGTTCGGAAAATCTCTTTGGTTTTGGGGTGCGGGTGAAGAGAACAATTTATTTTACTCAATGAAATTCTCTCTCTTTTTTTTTTTTTTACTTACTTACGTTTCTTCAGGGGTGTAAGTATTTTTTTTTTGTTCGCTTACTTCGTTTCGTCAGGGGCGTAAGAAGGTGTAAGTATTTTTTTTTGTTCGCTTACTTGCATTTCATCAGGGGTGTAAGTAGATGTAAGTTTGTTTGTTGTTGTTGTTTTTTTTGTTCGCTTACTTGCATTTCGTCAGTGGTGTAAGTAAAGGTAACGATGTAACTTTACTTGAGTAACTTTCTTTTTATTATCAACATTTTATACATTTCGTTACTATTCTCAAAAGTCAACCTAGAAACCGAGTTCCGATACCCGTGGTGGGCAGAGCACCGATAGCCCATAGTGTAGCTTTGTGCTTAATTACAACCAACCAACCATAGTAATCAATTATATACAACAAATGTTCCAGATAATTAAAAGAATGACAAATCTTACATCACCACTTTATCTGTTAATTTACGTACTTTGGTAAAACTTATCCATACAGGGTTTTGTTTGTAGACCTCGTGTCCTGCAACATACATGTAGGGTTTGAGAGGACTGTAGATGAGTGTCCTTTTTTACTTTTGTTACTTGAATACTTATTTTTACTTCAATATGAGTAACATATTTTAGTACTTTTTACACCCCAGCGTTCCGTAAAGCTTCATTAATTAGAATATAAAAATCCACCAGAATGTAGATACACATTTGTAACCCAGATGTTATATACTTTTGAGTTGCCTATATTTGATTTAATTCAGAAACAACGAAGCAAAAAAATATGGCTGACTTATTTGAACATGGCAGCTTTACTAATGTACTTAATGAATCGAAGAATAAACGAACTGAAATATCAGATATTGGTGCTGGAAATATGTTATAGATGACAAGAAGAACCTGAAGAAGTCACAGCTGTCAATCTAATAAGATTCCTTCCCAAAAATATAAGTTATAGTTAACAAGAAGAACATAAATAACCCACAGCTGTCAATCCAACAAGATTCCTTCCCAAAAATATAAGTTCTATATAACAAAAAGAACCTAAATAACCCACAGCTGTCAATCCAACAAGACTCCTTCCCAAAAATATAAATTCTAGATAACAAGAAGAACATAAATAACCCAAAGCTGTAAATCCAACAAGATTCCTTCCCAAAAATATAAATTCTAGATAACAAGAAGAACATAAATAACCCACAGCTGTCAATCCAACAAGACTCCTTCCCAAAAATATAAATTCTATATAACAAGAAGAACCTAAATAAGCCACAGCTGTCAATCCAATAAGATCCCCCCCCCCCCAATGTAAATAAAACAATTAAAACAGCACGGAGTTTTAAAGTTCTCTGAGAATTATATCCAAAAGCTCTTTCACATTTATTTCTTCGTTCTCGAACATATCAACTCAAATAGTGGTCCCAAATTTTGAAGTGAGAAGCTAGATAGAGAGCAGATATCAACTCCTTACACCGCCAATTCTTAGGCTACTCTTTACGAA